AAACACTAAGATTATATCTCCTCTAGTCCATTTTGGCAGGGCCTAATAATTTTGTAATTAGATGCAATTTTGCTAATTATAGTAATAGCATCCCAAGGCTCAGCACCTCATCGAAACCAAAGGCATTTGAAAGGGGATCTCCTATGGTCTTCTAGTGAGCTTGACTTACTAATTGTCATATACGAAATTCGAATCGACCCAACAACGATATAGGAGATTCGTCGAGAATCACTCACTCTTATATATGACTAGTCACTTCTTTAGTATTTTTACTCTTGTCTATACTGCTTCTGTTTGATTGTCCAACTTCTCAATTGTTTTTGAGGATTTTTCATCCAAAGACTGTTCTTTAATCCTATTTTTTACGATAATATTTGCCTTTTTAACAGTTATACCCCGGTCGGGCGTTCATTCTTCCAAAGCCCCGATGGCTACGACAATCCTCTTGGAGGTGGTCGCGAAGTGTGGTTCGGTTTTCATCAATCCGTTCGCCCCTCTCAGTGGAAAATGATGCTTAACATTGATGTATCTGCGACAGCCTTTTATAAGGCACAATCTGTAATTGCATTTATGTGCGAAGTGCTAGATATTTCTGATAAGCAAGATCAACGCCGTTTCTTGACCGATAGTCAGCGAGTCAAATTTACTAAAGAGATTAAAGGTGAGTTGTCAAATTCTCTTTAATTGACTTTTGCAATATTCGTTTGGTATCATAAATTGGCCAGTTAATTATGTAAATGTTGTGATGTGTTGGACTATGTGTATAATTCATTTTACTTATAGTCGATAACTATACATAATCTTAGATTTATGCATTAAATTTTATATTTTCGTGTCAGTTATTTACCTCACAATTTGGTCTATAGTTTTTTCGACGGTAATTACATTATTATGCCTCTTAATTTTTCATAAAACACAAATTTCCTTTTTATTAATATTGTGTTTCGACACTATCAGTAAATCTTAAAAAGCGTTTTATTCACCCTAAGTCGCATATGATGAAGGATTAATATTTGCTTTTTCCTACAATTTTATGAATAGGCCTCACTTTTTCATTAAATTCCGTTTATCTTTCCTTCCCAAAGGGCATTTTATTATAGGGCGAACTGCAGTTTTGACCTCGCATAGTTCTTATCACAATTTAAGAGGTAATTGAACCCGTTTTTTTATAAATAGTAGTCTCGTCACGATAATACCATGTTACATTCAAATGTATCCCTGGGTCGCAAACTAGCAGTCTCAAGGAAGGCCAGGCCTCTCATGCCGCGTCTATAGTAGGATTTTTGAAAAAACAAAGGTGTATTTTGCCACTAAAAGTGACTATTTTGCTTATAGGATAAGCCTCAATGCTACACAAAACTGGTACTTTTATTCATCATTTAGTGGTAGTTATAAAATTATCCTATATGGATGTAGGTAACATATACCAGTGTAATGGCAATATTCATCAGGATCGTAGTACGGTGAGCCAAGGAATTCTTTGCACAATTCAACAGTCTTCCCTACACGGTAATCCTTCTTCGGTTTCCGGTGTATGCATATCACGAATTCCTTCCAACCAACTTTTCCTTCAAAATGGAGAGTCATGTCACAATATTTCATTAAGGAATTTTTCGAAACCCAGTTTTTATTCATGAAATTCAAGTTTGTCTTATTGATAATTCCTCCATAAATTTAATACTGGGATAAACGTGCCCTATATGACCACATCACGAATTATTTCCAAGCAACTTTTGTTTCGAACTGGAAAGTCATGTCATAATATATTATTCAGGGATTCGTAGAAACCCATTTTTTTCTTTATATCTTCGAATTCGTCATTATATATCTTAGTTCGGAAGACTTCCTTATGCTCCAGAGAATGGCTGATTGATTGCATGGCAAAGTTTTTCGACAGGTTAGAGATACATAATAGGCAATTAAGATATTTGGGTTTAATACCTAGCTCATTGAAATGATCCATATCTAATGAAGTAAAAGGAAAGTAAAGCCGCTGCCAAAATGTCCAAAACTTTATAGAACATTTCAACCGGATAGGTCTTAGCAAAAGGCTTAGGTTTTGACTTTCCAAATGGTAGGGATTTCAAAGAGGAAATTTTGGTAGAATTGATAAGTTTAACAGATAGCTTGTAGAAAGACTGGGTTTCAAAGAATCCCTTTATAGATTGTTGTTGGAGTATCTTTAATTTAATCTAAAGATCTATGTGGAAGGGATTCGTAAGTTAACCTCATTAAAAGATGTAGGGGGATTGCCTTGGAGCTGTGATTGTAGATTTGTGCGAATAGGTCCATTTAACTTTCTATACTCATTCCTTCTTATTAAGGGTGTTGGTTCTTTTGTTGAGTTTTATCGCTTCCCAATTATTTCGCTTACTGGTATATTCGCCATACCCAGCTAAGCGTTTTGCATTAGACCAGTCTATTTGGTGTCCTTTGCGAGCCATGTGTTCGGCCAATTTCGATTTTTGGACCTGCAGACCCTTGCAGGCTGTTTTGTGTTCAGATAATCTCTTATGTATGGGCCCACATGTCTCTCCCATAAAGACAATACCGAGGAAAGTATTATTTTCCCTTTGACGTAAAGCCCCCGTAACCCGCAAAACGTGTTTTAAACAAGTCTTTTGGATGTCCTGTATTAGTCATGTATTCAGCGAGCTCAGGTTATCGGACTCAGACCTTAACATGCGGTTTTGTGTTCGCATAGTCCCTTCTGGATGGGTCGACAGGTCTCCCCACATAGACATTATCATATGAGCACAAAACCTTGTAGAAGTCTGATTTAGAAAAAAAGTCCAAAAATTCTCTAAACGAAGGAACTACTGAAGTGCAGAAAGAGCTACTGAACAAGAGAATGAGGCTTAATTATCCCCGAGTCTAGCTAGGACTATCATACTTTTCATGACATGAACCTTACATACACACAATAGACAATAGCATAAGCCCAAATATGAATCAACATTAGAGGATCGTACACTAGTTCATTTGTGTGAGGAAACAGCTGCCACTGAATGCACTTAAGGTTCGTGAGGTAACTTCACTCATCTGCAAGCATGTAGGGTAGGTTTATTGTAGCCAACCAAATCATTGCATTCCTTATTAAGATCGCGAAGTTAGGTGGATAAATAAGCAACTAGGGTTGCATCCGGCTACTTTTTTTTTGGTTTAGTGTATTTTTTCTCTATTCCCTGAAGAGCATTTTGTTCTGATGATGTCTGTCAGTACAGACGCAAGCTTATTACAGTTTGATCGGGGTCGCAGGACGGTGGGCCGAGGATTTCTTCTTACGATACAACAGTCTTCCCTACGCGACAATCCTTCATTAATCTCCGATGAGACCACAATACAATGAAACTACAGTCCACTCTCGATGGGATTAATTTCTGAGAAGAAAGGCTGTGAAATTTGAGGGAAACGTGAGCCCTATACCATTATGAGAAAATTTTACTATCAGTCCTTCATTACATTGTTAGACTTAGGGTGACCGGAACTTCTAAGTATTACCCTTTTTCATGAAAATTGGTATATATTTGGGTTATAAAAACTACGTTTAAATGTAAGTTTTAACTCACTTAATATCCTATTCCTTTTTAATAATGAATGCCCTTTTAATATGGATTTTAAGAGATGATAAAAATATTATCTCTTGATTCAAGGTAAAAGTATACTATAGATTAAGGTTGATTTAAAGGTAAATGAATTTGCTTGTTAATGATTCCTTCTTAATGCAGCGCCAAATCATATGCTGCTTTTAACCTACCTTATCATTCTTAATTAAATTATTTTTGACGATTATCTTCTGCATTATTTCATGTCCATACTATTCCCAAACGTTCATTACTGTATTCCTCCCATTAAATTAATCAACAGGTCTAAAAGTCGAAATCACGCACTGTGGTAATATGCGACGCAAATATCGCGTCTGCAATGTTACGAAGAGGCCAGCACAAACACAATCGTTTCCTTTGCAGCTGGATACTGGACAGACAGTGGAATGCACTGTAGCAAAGTACTTCCAAGAGCGTTACAACATACGTCTTGAATATCCACATCTGCCATGTTTACAAGTAGGGCAAGAGCAAAAGCACACATACCTGCCGCTGGAAGTTTGCAATATGGTGGCTGGTCAACGTTGTATCAAGAAGTTAACTGATATGCAAACCTCCACCATGATCAAGGCCACTGCTCGTTCTGCCCCAGACAGGGAGAAAGAAATCAACAATCTGGTGAGACTAATAAAAATCCTGTATCATATGCTTATCGATTTCACTATTTTAATATTTTGAGGCTAGAATATACATTTTACGTGAACGATAAAAAAATAAATAATCAGGTAACGATGTGTCTTTTATGCAGGAATTTCAATGAATTCTGGGGTTTGTTCTGGTGGGGACATGATAAAACGATTACGTTTTTTTAATAAGCCCTGGAAGTCTTGTTTGTATATAGATCAAATCTATCAGACTTCGCTGGTGCTTATTGACCGATAATAAAATTGGAATGTTTTGCTAATTCTCCCAAATCAAAATCGCATGCTCAGAGAAGTGGCAAATTTGACTCTGACTAAATTGGGCCACGTACATTTGTTCTTCTCCTTGAGGTTTTAGCG